TGATTCATCAGATCCAGTTACTATTATATCATCAACATAAATCACAGCAATAGTAACATGTTCTCTCACCCTTTTAATGAACAAAGAGTAATCATTCTTAGATTGCTCAAAGCCCATTTTCTGCAACTCTATATTCAATTTTGCAAACCATTGCCTAGATGCTTGCTTAAGTCCATATAAAGACTTTTTCAGCTTGCATACTAGATTATCTGGGTTTGCAACACCTTGAGGAACCTTCATATAAACTTCTTCAGTAAGGTCCCCATGCAAAAATGCAATATTGACGTCCAGCTGGTACAATGTCCACCCTTTGCTTGCTGCTATAGCCAGAAGACACCTCACAGTAGCCATTTTAACCATTGGTGAGAAAGTTTCCAGATAATCAATCCCATATTTTTGTGTAAACCCCTGAGCAACCAACCTTGCTTTCAGTCTCTCAACACTGCCATCTGCTTTTAACTTGACTTTAAACACCCACTTACAGCCAATTGGTTTCTTGTCCCTGGGTAAATTCACTAGCTCCCATGTTTCATTACTAGTTAAAGCATCTAGCTCCTTTTTCATTGCCTCCACCCAACCTTCATGTTGTAAAGCCTCTAAATAACTCACTGGTTCTGTAATCTGCACATTCTGATTTATCAAAGCCTTCATTGAAGTAGGAAGAACCTCAAAAGTCACAATATTACACCAGTGTTCAGTTGCAAATTCAGCTGAACAAATATATCCATCTAGATAACTGGGCCTCTTCCTGGGTCTATCTGACTGTTTGAGATTTGTAGCTGGTCTTTTTAAAGTGTTTATGGGTATATTTGGGCCTGTGTTTGGTTCTGTGTTTGGTATTGTGTTTGGTTCTGTGTTTGGTATTGTGTTTGGGTCTGTTTGGAAAGCAAATGGTTCTGGTATAATAAAATATGTGTCTGAATCAAAAGAAGTGTTTACAGGCAAGAAAATAGGAGGATTTGCAGTTTTTGTTTGAGATTCATAATGAAAAGGTAAATGCCTTTCATAAAATGTAACATCTCTTGAAAAAATTATTCTTTTACTTTCCAAATCATACATTCTATAGGCTTTCTGGTCAGGTGGGTAACCCAAAAATATGCAAGGAGAAGACCTAGCATCAAACTTTGATCTTCCAGTTTTCAAAGTAGACACATAGCTTAAACAACCAAAGACTTTTAAATGTAATAAATCTGGTTTCTTACCATGTAACAGTTCATAAGGTGAGCTGAAATTTACAGAACTCAGAGGCATCCTATTTATCACATGTGTTGCTGTGAGCAAACACTCTCCCCAGAATCTTACAGGCACCTTGGATTGGAAAAATAAGGCTCTTGTTGTTTCAAGCAGATGCCTGTGCTTTCTCTCCACTACTCCATTCTGCTGTGGGGTGTCAGCACAGGACTTTTGATGCTTAATACCATTGCTTCTATAAACTTGAAGAATTTCTCCCTCACAAAGCTCTTTAGCATTATCAGTTCTCACACACAAAACATTTTTCTTGAACTGATTCTTAACAAAAACAAGTAAATCAGTGAAAATTTTCACAGCATCACTCTTATTTTTCATAAGAAATGTCCATGTATTTCTGGAGAAATCATCTACAATAGTAAGAAAATAGCTAAACCCATCATGAGTTACAGACTTATAAGGCCCCCAAGTATCAATGTGTAGAAGTTCAAAGCAATCCTGTGTTCTAGACACACTTTCAGGAAAAGATTTTCTAGTTTGTCTAGACTTATGACATATCTGACACACTAAATCATTTCCTATGTTATTATTGAAACAAGAATTAACTAGATGCAAATTATTAAACGGCATATTCTCCATTCTAAGGTGCCAAAGCTTAGCATCATCATCTGCCTTGCTAACTAACCCATGCTGATCCTGCTGCTCAACTGTCATGTCATCAACAGCATACAATCCTGACACCAGATTACCAAGAACCACTGACCGACTCAAAGTTGGTCCCTGAATCAAACATTTATCATGAGTGAATACAATTTCACAATTCAAATCTCTACATAGTTTATGTGTAGAAATCAAATTGAACTTCAACCCTGGAACATGCAACACATTTTGTAAGACAATCCCATTATCAAATTGAACTGTGCCTATGTGCTCTACAGTCACATGTTTTCCATCTGCTATTGTGATTGTACTTGGTGTCTTATCAAAACATTTATATGACTCAAACAAACTCAAGTTTGAACAAATATGATCAGTTGCACCAGAATCTACTATCCATTTTGCATTTGAACAAGTCAGTAAACATGTACTTGCTACATGTGCCTGGGATTCTGCTGGATTCTCAGCATTCTGTGATTGAAGTGCCTTTAGAATACTGCTGAACTGATCTTGAGATATTTGAGTTACACAATCTCCTGTATCTTCTTCTTCATCATCAGCATGAGCAACTGCAGCCACTCTCTTACCCTTTCCTTTTGCAAAATTTAGAGGGTAACCATTCAGTTTAAAACACTTTTCCATGACATGTCCTGGAATTCTGCAATGCTCACAGAAAGGACGTTTCCCTGCTACCACCAACTTGTTTCCATTTCCTGTTTGAAAAGTCATCTTGGAACCTTGATAATGATTCTTGTAACTCTTCCTGTAATCTGCTGCAAACACCATTGCTCTATTATTTTCTTCTTCAACATTACTTGTCTGCCTTTGTTTTTCTTCTTGTATCAACAACTTATATGCCATAGACATACTCAGTAATGGCTGCATCATCAAAATATTGGTTCTCACAGCAGTAAATTTACTGTCTAACTTCATCAAGAGTTGTACCAGTCTTTCTTCTTGTTGTTGTTTCAAGAACACTTGAATACAAGTACAACCTGGACTGCTACAAGTAGGCAAAGGATTCATTTGATTTATCTGATCCCAAATAGCCTTCAACTGTGTAAAGAACTCAGTGATTGAAGTTTCTGGTCCTTGTTTTAAGTCTGCTAACGATTGCTGCAATGTATACAGTTGAGGTCCTGAAATTTGTGAAAATCTTTCATCAAGATCCTTCCAGATTTCTTGTGATGTATTCAAGAACAGGACACTTCTAGCAATTGAATTTTCTAACGATCTCAAGATGTAAGAAATTATGATTGCATCACATCGCTTCCATGCTGCACAATTAGGATTTGTCTCATCTGGTTTAGGTAAACTTCCATCCACAAATCCCAATTTGTTCTTCGTTGCCAATGCAATCATCATGCTCCTTTTCCATTCGCCAAAAGCTTCTCCAAAAAACTTCTCAGAAACAATCGGTAAAGCAGTATTTTCAGAAGGATTTATATAATATGGTGAAGTAGGATCAAATGTAATCGGAATTGAACTACTAGCCATTTTAATCAGATCTAGTAGAAATATCAGATCGATTGATTGATTCAATCAAACCAGAAAAAAAAATTCGATCAAACTCTCAAGATTATGATCTAATCTGCAGAAATTTGGATCGAAACTTCAAACAATTGAATTATATTTCTGATTGAAACAGAAACTTCAGATTTCAGAAAATGTGATCTACTGATTGATCAAATTGAAACAAGCAAATTACTTAGAGTAAGAATTTGCGGAAAAATTGATTCAAACTTACTAATTTCACTGCAAACAGACGCAAAATTGAAGATCACATTTTTCCTGCTCTGATACCATGTTGATGTTTACAGTAAAACTCAAGAAATAGAGAGAGAATTTCAGAGAGAAAAGAAGAGAAGTTGTATTGAATTGAATTAATACAATCTGTTATCAATACAAGATTTTATATCAGAGTTAGTTGTAACTAATTCTGTTATATCAGAAAATTAATACCCTGACTCATCATCTGAGCTGTCATCAATAGCCAGGATCATCAATTTCCGAGGCAATCTTAAACGAGCTTCGTCCTACAATAAAGTTGGAGGAATTATGAGTGACAAATTACAGCGGTGAAAACTATCCGGGGTGGTTACATTGTTCAGCAGCGTATCACATTAATCTTCAATATATTCACTTGAATCATTGGCCACTTTGCACAGAACTCCCACCATTCTGGAGGCTTCCGGTTATAAGGACCCTCCGCCTTGACTCAATACATAAATTAAAATTTGTAGACCGTCAATTTTTTGGGGATGATCAGAATGAGCAGAGGTTTGCTAAACTGGAATTTTTAGAATTTCGTAACATGACAGAACTTGCCTCGTGGAACGGATTGATAGAAGGAGATATGCCGAATCTTCTAGACTTGAAGTTCATCAACTGCCCAAGATTGGCTGTGATGCCTACCTTACAACCTCTAACTTCGCTAAAGTTTTTAGACATTTCATATTGTGACCGGCTACTAGATGATCCTGAACTTCCGTTGTCTGTTGAATCATTTCACTTCCCAAGAGTGGCACCTTACCCTCTTAATTATGACCGTTAGTGAAATAGTCTCTTTTGTATTTATAGAGATTTAACCCAAACATTTTTTTTTATCTATAGTGGAATTTTATGTAAAATTATCAGCTGGAATCTTCTGGAAAAGATAATGTTATGATATATACTCTCTCCGTTTTTAAATACTTGCTCCATTTCTCTATGCGCGGAATTTTAAGAGAAATTGGAGAAAGTATTAAAATATGGAGATAGTAGGGTTGGTAGAGGTATATTGGAGGAGAGAGAATGTAAAAGTAATAAAATTGGGTCTACTAGTTGAGAGAAATAAATTAAATATTATAAAAGTTTTCTAAATAAGAAAATGGAGCAAGTATTTAAAAACTGAGGGAGTATATAGCACACATATAGATTTGTTTATTTACATGAGACACAAGAGTATTTCGACAAGATTTGTAAATTAAACTGCCCAAGTTATGTAACACTTACACACAAGAGCATTTAAATTTGCATCAAAAAAGAGCATTTCAAATTTGGTGGAATATGATGGAACCTGGAGCATTTCAACTTATGTTTCACCAGACCTCATTTGATTCAAATCGGCCAAAGCCCGAGTAAAACCAAATCGACTCTATAATACAAGAGACCCATATGATATTTGTACATTCTTATTCATTTGTACACATGAGACCTTTTACAAGCACACATAGAAGGTATACATTATTTACATATATTACATATATACATATCAACATATAATGATTAAATTTCTTTGCTTATATATGTATAATACAGCTAATCTATATATTTACATATAGGTTTATAAAGAATGATATAAACCTTTAGCAAAATTAGACTCTGCTGATCAATTCATGATCAATCCATATATTTTGCACATGTTCAACCTTGTGAAGTTTCGCGCCCTTGCGTCTTCTAAACCACTCAGTGATTTTAGGGCAATCCTCGATAATCAATGTCTCCAGTGATTTCGACAACTTTTTCTCAAGGAATGAACTGCTGAGATTTTCACAGTTGATTATTTCCAAATGCTTGAGAGTGGCGAGTTTAAGAGGTGAAGATGGAACACCAACCAACTTAGGACATCGCTCTATGGTGAGCTTGCAAAGACGCGGGTAGTCTCCATTCTCTGCTTTTTCCCAGCTTTCTAGCTTAGAGAAGCCAACAATTGCAAGTCTCTCTAGTTTCGGAAATGCAATGGAAGTATCGAATCCTCTAAACTTAGTCCCAATCTCTTTTACACTATTCATTTCCACCAGGCTTAAAAACTTCAAAGATGGAAGTTTTCCCAGTGAAGGAAGTATCTCGGAATCATCACATTTGTAGAGTGTAACACTAGTGAGCACCATGAATGAAGGATCACCGATCCAACTAGGAAAGCTCGTGCCTCCATAGCACGATATTTGTAGCTTTTCCAAGTTAGAGTGAGGTCGAAGTCCTTGAAGAATTTCATCTTGATCTAGTGACTTAGTCCGATGTTGATGCAAGTCGCTCCACCTTAACTCTAACTCCTTTACATACTTCTTTTTAGACAATGAGGATTTCACAACATCAAATGTATCCGAAACATTCTCCAATCTTGCAATGCAAAAACTTTCCTTAAGGCTGTTCATATTCTTTAACTCTTTAATGCTTCGATCATCATCCTTATTATGAACAAGAAATGCTGATAAGGTCTCAAGCTCGGTAAGTGCTCCCATTCCTCTCGGCATAAGGTCTAATTGCCCGAGAACATCAAGCTCGAGATGTTTGAGAGAGGTTAGCTTTCTCATCCCTTCAGGTAACCTATACAAGTGTGTACAATCTTTGAGTTTCAAGGTTTGCAATTTAGAAAGACAATCAATGGTTTCGGGCAATAACTCAATTAGAGTTTGCGAAAGGTCTAGGTACTTAAGTTTAACCAAATCTCCCACGGAATTTGGTAACTCGACAAGGTTAGATTTACTCAAATCCAACACCTCCAAATGCTTGAGAGCCGAAAATACATTACTCGGTATCTTGCTAATACTCGAAGCATCCTCACTAAGCAGCATTAGCGCCTTTAACTCCTTGAAATCTGTCAATCTTCTAAGACTTTCTTCATCGATTTCTTCCCCCACCAAAGACACATATTGTACATGTTTAGATGCTTTATGATAATACAAGCTCTTCAATTTATGAAAGAGCTCCTTATCATGTGACATTGTGTTCGCGTTATCATTCATCATCTTATCTATATTTACAACATATCTTTCCTTCTCGATAGGAGACCGTGTGCTTGTACTCGCAATATAGTCATAGGACAAAAGAGTACTGAAATAGAAGTCACCAAGATGATCCTTTTGCTTACCCTTTAGAAAGCCTCCTGCTATCCACAATTGAATAAGCGTATCCTTTTCGAATTCACAACGTTCAGGAAAAAGTGTGCAAAATTGCCACATTCTTTCCTCACCTTCTAAAAGAGACTTGATTTCATTACTTGTAAATCCCATTTCTTTCACTTTAGCCCTAAATTTTTTGCTAACGGTAGCTTTGTTTCTGGTTGTCTCGCTTGATTCTTTTTTAGTCATTACACTTGACGACATCTTTCTTTCAGGTTTTTTTACAGATGTATTCTTCGTACGCGTCCATATATCATTCCCTATGTTCATAACCAAAAAAGAAAAAGAAGCTTTGTTAAATATGAGTGATGGGGGTTGGCATGAGCAATCGAATCCCCGAAATCGGACTGTACAAGAACTTAGAAAAAGAAGAGTTTGTAAATTTGAATAAAAGTGTAACAAGTGAAAATGTGTAGATGTTGTTAGATTAAAAAATGGTAAGGTAGTAAAAGAAATTTAACAAAAATGAAATAAAGTAAATTATAAAATGGTCAAAAAAAAAAAAAAAAAAAAAGTTGAAATATGTTAAGAACATTACTCGTATTATAGAAGTTATTTTAGTGAGGGTCTTTTTTTACTGAATCTGTCTCATAATGTTATTACTCCGTAATATTAACCTTTAGCCTAGAATTAAGCGGGAAAAGTGAAAGAAAGTGTATATTACAATGGTTATGATGGACGCTTTATTATGGACCAAAACCAAATTAATGTGTTATTAGTGGGATGATTAAGATAAAATAGAAATTGATGCTAATACAAAGATTAAAGATACCTTCTGAATTTGTAGGCCGCTCGAGCATCTGTAAAAGAAGTGAAGAACCATTAAGAATAAGAAGGGAAAAAAAAACTGTCTTAACATTCAAATTGTTTGGAAAGATCAAATAATTAATTAATTTAATAATATTATTGCCAACTTTTTTTTCTTCTAGTGATGAGATTTTTTTATTTATTTATATAAAATACAAGTAATAAACAATTATCTAAAGTCTTTAATCTTTGTAACAAAAATATTGTCATGATCTCACTAAAATACATAGGTAAATTTTGGACTACTTTGTATATTTATTATATTTGATGATTAATCAATTACTTCCTCTGTTCTATTAATATTGCAACAAGGAGAAAATTACGCATCCCAAAACACATTTTATATGCTAAATATCTATAATTCTGTAAAAGTAAAAATTATAAAAAAAAAAAAAAAAAAAGTTGATATTGTGAAAGTATTTTATGAGATGAATCTAACAAGATCCCACTTGACTATATTTTGTTTAACGTAGAAATCATATTATATGGTCAAACAAGAGTGATAAATAGTGCAAAAAGTCCATTGTTACAATATTAATAGAATGGAGGAAGTATTATATATAAAAAAAAATTGTACAATATACTAAAATAGGTAGTTGTATAAATAAATTAAAGATAAAACTAGAATCAATAAACGTAAAAGATACATACCTGCATGTGCTTGTACACATCCAAGAGGTTTAAATTTTCATAGTCCATCAGCTCATCAACCATAGCTTCTGGGGTAGCGTCTGCAAGTAAACTCGAAAGCAAATCAATTCAATATAAACACTGAAAAACAATTAAGTTTATCATATACTGATATATCTGCATATAATTATGGCCTATACTCCCTTCATTTCATAATACTACGTATATGATTCTGTTTCTATTGAATTATTTTAATTTTTTTTTTTTATTATTTTACAGTTTTTGATACATGCATGTCTTTGATAACAAAATCATTATTTACATACAAGTAAAAAAAACATTAATTAATAATAAAATACTGATATTATGAAACTATAGAGACGAATTCAAAAAATCTAACGTCTATATATATATGTTTTTTTTTTGTTTTTTTTTTAATATATCAAGGAATAATCATGGACAAATTTCGATCTATTTTCAAACGATAGTAATTATAAGAAGAACAACACACGTAGTAATTATAAGAAGAACAACACACGTACTTTTAATGCCGCCTAGTCTGTTAACAGCTTCCACAACTGTTTGATAAACATCTTTTTTAGAGGCATATTTTTCAGAGGCCAAAGTTTCAGGAGTTCTCATCAAATCTGATATGGATATGCTTGAGGATGGTTTAGCTACTTCCTGCATTTGATTCCAACATAAGACATCATTAGTTCTCAACTCCTAGCATGTGCAATTGTACAATAGCATGCATGCACAACTCTTGGGTATTTGGACTCGTTTTCTAAAACATGCCCCTTGACCACCTCCTCTTCACTTGAGTCCTTCCAAAAATTGACCCGACCTATAAAAACAACGATGAATTTTGAACAATAACTAGCCTTTAATTTTCTAATCTAAAATTCAACTTTATTATCAAATTGAATGTCAAATCCTACTTGAATTATTGTTTTGAACTGGCTCACTCAAAATAGAATCATATGTTAATAAATTCGAAATGAGATTATGAGAACGTTCTTTAACAGTTAAGTTCAACGTGGCTTATTAGGCATATGATGACTAATACGGGTTATATGAAGGGAAAATGAAATTGAAGAACGTTTTAAAATCTCTTAATTAAGACGTAGGGTTAACCTAGACCTTTATTTGTACCATGCATATACAGGCAAACATTGTTTAAGAGAAACGTAAAAGTTAAACCAAAATTCTGTACCCTTATCTCATCTCCAACGGGCCATACATTTGACATATCTAATTTTTAATTAACTTGTAACTATCATACTTCCTTTTTCTTCTTTCTATTTTTTTTTTTCCTGCTGTTATTTTCTTGGATATAAAGACTATAACTCTATAAGCTTCCACGTCTTTGCAAACGAGTTTAGTTTCCTTACAATTTAACTACTTGTCTTTATATTTAAAAGTACTTAACTTTTAAAGACTAAACATCCTAAGCTATTCAATATTGATACTTTTTATATCATGGTTTTTGTTTAATATTATTGCAAAGTTCTACTGTCTCTGTTTCATTTTATTTGCAACTTTTGAGTTATTTGTGAGATAAATTTTTTTAAAAGTTGCAAATAATATGAAACAAGGTCATATTTTAAAATTTGAAGGTCATGATAACAAAAGAAGTATAATACAAAGTAAAAGATATTGTTTTGATTTTCTTTTTCTTAAGAATTAGTACAAAGTAGATTTTGGATTAGCATTATTCTTGATAATAATATTTTCCATAGATACTTTTTCATCTTGTTTGATTGGCCGGCAATAATCAATACTTGTTTTAGTAGTGACAAAATAAATTTATGTTCTATAATTTGTAACTTTTCAAATGAAACTTCATACTTCCACAATATTGCTTTTAATCTCATTGTTGTCGCTTATTATGTAAATTTCATTATCATCAACAATTAAAATTTTGATGTGTAATTGAATTGTAATGAAAAGTAATAAGAAATTATGTTAGGGAATGGAATTTTAGCACTATATATAGACATTGGCATGAAGATTTTATTAAACTAAATTATAAGTAACTTCATTACCACTTGTATCATCAAATGAGGTATTATACTATCATTGTCATAATAATTAGAATGTCAAGAGATTCAAGACTCACTTTCCTCCTCCATTGGCGGAAAGAAAACATGTCCACGAAATAGCATATACGGAGTATATGATTAGGCCTAACTAATATAATGGGTTTGTCTATATGTATACCAATTAGCTTTGTTGGTTGTTGTCTGGAGAGTGGTCCCGACGATCAAATTCTGTTTATATCATTTGTCTCGTGATTCTCTCTTTACAAAGAGATTGTTGTACGAAGATAGGGCCTTGCAAGGCTCATATTCAAAACCTGTAGGCCATTATTGCTAGAATACTCGAATACCATTATTTAACATAAACAACTACACTAAGAGTTTAAGCTGATGAAAAACATGCAATTACCTTCAGTAGTTTCTCCTTTCTGCGTCTTGATGTCGGTTGGCATCCATGTAATAATCCAAGATGATTCCGGTCTTTCCAGATATGAGAAGCAAGTGAATTTGTTGAGCTATGTTTTTTCATTTCCAATAGCTTTATGTTTCCCGCCATTTAAAGCTTTAATCTTCCTTTATTCGGAATTTGTGAAGGATAAAGGAGAGGCTTTAGAGTTGTCGTGCAAGATCATGGCACTGTAATATAATGATGCGTATAACAACTATATTTATATATATGATATGATCAATATATTATAGATAGATATTGACAACGAACATTGATATAAAGAGATAGTTCTTGTAATAAACAATACCCCTTAAAACAAAGGGAGGGAAACAAGGAATTTTTAAAAAAATTACACTTGTTCAAAAGAAGACTAAGCTAGACAAGAAAATTATAAAAGAAATTGAAGCAGATTAGACTTAGTAATTACATAAATTACATAGTACATTCCAGTATTATATACTCAGCATATTGTTATTTGTTAGTCCAGTTCAACACGGGAACTAAAAGATTGCGGAAAATTCTAGGATGTGAGTCGAGTTACATCCCAACGATTGGTGCTTTATATTTCAAAAATATGTACGATGATTTAATTCCTTACTCGATTTCAATTATACTTGTATATACTATGTTTTCTATGTGACATGTTGCATGTCTAATTGATCTATTTATTTATTTTTTATTTATTTTTTTACATTTTATATGGATGTATAGTGGAGACTGGAGAGACTTGGACAATGTTGTAAATAGAATTAGATCTAAATTTAGAGTACCACCTTTAAGATTTTAATCAATTAAATTAGTTAATATTCACACATTTAATTAATATTAATGATGCATTGCCGATAACCTTTTTTGATCGATTATGCCATACCATCAACTAATTCATGCATTGTCGGTAACCTTTTTGATTAAACCATACCATCAACTAATGATGTGTTGGTAAAGGCATGTTTTCTACATGTTTCAAAAATGGTAAATTTGATGCAAATAGTCCTAACTATGGTAGGTCATCTTTAAAAGGTCTCAACTATTGATTAATATAAAGGGATCTTAATTTTAGGGGATCCTTTTCAAAATGGTCCATAGATAGTTTTAACTAGTTTGACTAGTTACCAGTGCCATGTGTCTTGTTTTCATTAGACTTGGTAAAATAAAAATAATTATCCGGCTCTCTAAAAAAGCACTCATCCTGTCCATCTAGCTCATGTTTTCTTCACCTTAAAAAAATTATATTCAATTAAACGAATCACTAAATATTCAACACGTGGTAATTTTATTAGTTTAACCAGTCATAATAAGGTAAAGACTATTTTAAGAACCTCTTTTAAAGTAGGAACTGTCATGACTTAGAGTCTGTTCTCTTACAATGAAATTTAGTTTAGTTTAGTTTAGTTCAGTTCAGCTCCGCTCCTAATTTCCTTCTCTTATAAAATATTCATTTCAGTTCAGTTCAGTTCAGCTCAGCTCAGTCCAGTTCAATTCAGCTGGATTCAGTCAATGAGAACAGACCCAGCTCCGCTCCTAATTTCCTTCTCTTATAAAATATTCATTTCAGTTCAGTTCAGTTCAGCTCAGTTCAGTCCAGTTCAATTCAACTGGGTTCAGTCAATGAGAACAGACCCTTAATTAATAGTTAGAAACTTTTAAAGAAGAAGGTTCGTAGTTGGGACCAAAAGCATTAATGTATTAAAAAAAAAATCATTTCTACCTATTGAAGTTGATATTAATTTAATGATAAACATAAGATATAATTTATAAAAATTAATTTTTAATAATCATTAAAAAAAATAATTTATAAAAATCAATATTTTCATTTTGGGAATAGAGGTCCTGACTCATTTTTATTTCACAAATTCTTGTATATGGCTAGCCACACTATGTGACAAACCATCATTGTGGTTACTTCGTTAGTGTTATACGGCTTACCTGATCAGTGTTATAAGGGTTATTTCATCAGTTTTATAGGGGTTACTCGATCAGTATTTTAAAGTAACTTTGTTCTTTCACAAGTGGAAAGCGGCCACACGATGTGGCCAGCCGCACACAAGGCGCATTGTTTTTATTTGGGAGTTGACGTTTCATTTTCGTTTACAACCAAATATTATAAATTTAATAAATTTAACTCAAACATTTCATTTTCAACTACCAAACATGCATTTAAAAACTAAATTTTTCTTTAAAAAAAAAAATGTTTACTAAAGCAACAAGTATCATGCCAGAAATCATGTACCTTAAAACAAGTGAGCAAAGTCATGGTTAATTGAAGATCAGATTTGACTCTTGGACATACATCCCCATCAAGTCACCAATCATGTGTTTGTAATGATATAGTGTCTGCTTTGTTAGAATGATTTTAAAATGAGTAAATTAATAATATTAAGGAGCATGAAGTAGTTATTTTCTACTACTATGTATGTGTTCACTAAAAGAATAATTATCATTATAATTCTCAATCATTAGTGATCAATTATCATACACATTATGAAGTGAAAATCAAGCTAATTAAGGTTGGCTACCTGGTTAGAAGCTCTCCTTTCTACCCTTTTGATTTTCACTCCAAACAAGTAGTAGAATCTCTGATTGTTGTAAGAGGCTTTTCCTCCACCAAAAAAAAAACCTAGAACAAGTAAACTTATTGTTGCTGTACCACAAAAAATAAAAATAATATACATTTACACATACATATTATTGATGTTAATTACTAAATACGCGTGAATTAGTATTATAATCAATATTACTTGTCATTCAAAAAAATAAAATAAAATAAAATAATATAAATTACTTCGTTTTTACAACCTTTAGTGAAGGATGAATAAAAATATGTGAATGGCGTAAGTAGGAGCAGCCCCTGAGAGGGAGAGGCGGCGTTGAACATCTCTCTAATCTAAATTATAAATTATACAGTATTTTTTTAATGACTGATAAAGACCAATAATTGTGTACGTTGCAATTAAATTACATCATAACGTATATTTCTTGGAAGATGCTTTTATAAGATGGCATAATCATTTATTTACAATCTTTTGAGTAACAATCATAAACTTTGCAAGAAAGCTACATGTTAGCAACAACTTAAGTCATCAATCTAACCTTCTAAAATTTAATATTTCAGTATTATTAATTAAAATTACTTCTTCAAGTGTATATTCCTATTTCAATAATATTTTTAAAAGGACATTTGGGGTCAAATTATATCATTTGAGTTCACACTACGCCATTGAAATTATAGAGCTTAAATTCGGCCTTTTTTGTAGGATAAAAAAATACATATATATAGAAATAAAAAACTTTGGCCTTTCTTGATTATCAAAGTTCCAATATAATTTTTTTGAAATAAATTAAATTTTTTAATATTATTTAAAGTCCTTAATCAAACACTATAGTTAGGCTATATATATATATATATATTAAACAACGCAACTCACTATGACCGTTTCATTATGTGCTAAGAAAGAAGTAATAAGCCACACGGTTGTAGGTGCGACTTCATTCTCACATACGAACATACGATGTAACACTTAATTAAAAAGCATTCACATTATTTATCTGTTGATTAAATAAGGTTGTTGGAAGGTGACTTTTCTGGGCTCTCACATTTTGACTTTCACAATTACTCCGTATTAATTTATAATTTTAACTTTTATATCTCTAATTTTAGATAAGTAAAAAACAGTATAAAAAATTAACAGTGAATCCAAAATACAAGTTCATGTTTATGATAAACAAAAAAATATTTACTTAGTGGCATTTTGTAAATAAATCAAAAACTTTTGTCAAATGTAACTACATTAATGTTGATTTATTTACATAGTTGTCATGCTAACTGAAATTTTATATTGATTTATTTACGGAATTGTCATTAGATAAACGTTTTTTGTTTATCATGAAAATGAACTCATGTCTCGTAAAGCTCCACAAGCAAGTGGACCATGGAGCAAACAAAAAGGGACTAGGGTATGCATGTTCTCTTACGTTGAAATTCAGTTCAGTTCAGTTCAGCTTAGCTTAGTTCAGCTCCTAATTTTTTTCTCTTATAAAATATTCATTTCACTTCAGTTCAATTCAGCTCAGTTAAGCTAATTCAGTCAATGAGAACAAGCCCTAAGGATTGATACAAATCTTATAAGATTTCACAATCCACATGACTATATTTCTATGAACATATCTAAAAGTAGAGGTAGTCATCTCTCTTATTGTCGTGGAAAGTCAAAGATATTGCTCGCCTAAGAGATTTTGAGCAATTGAGCATGTTGTGTAACTATATCTTCTTGTAGTTGTACAAGCTAAGGATCGTATTATTATTCATAAAAAAATATTTCCTGATTGTACATAGGTAAATGGTAAGACTTGAATAAATATATCAATGACAATCCCTAAATTTAACCATAGACTAGATTTGAAGAAATAGAAGAAAACGAGGTAAATTCTTACAAAAAAAAAAAAAAAAAAAAAGGGTAAATTCTCACAACATCTTATAAAATAAACAAGGTAGATTTTATATCATGTCTACTACGGAGTACCAACTACCAAGTATGGTTTTATCCTACTAGATCGGAAAAATGCACATTTCACAGGTCGCATGTTAACTTGTGTCGGATTGAGTTTTGCAAGGTTTAGGTTTGATAAGATCAATTTTATCCCTACCAAAAAAAATCATGTCCACCTTAGGTGATAAAAAGTATCATTCTTATGTATCTAAAGTTAAGAGATAAGTACCTTTCAAAAAAAAAAAAAAAAGTTAGAGATAAGTACTAGTCTTTGGTTTAACATTAGTTATTTTTTGGCACCATCAATATTATTTTAACAAATTGAATAAAACAATAGTTGGTGAACTGAATTTAAAAAATACAAAATGATCAATGAATACAATTAATTAATGTATCTAACTAGTACGTAGACGTAATACTGGGTGAATATTATGAATAAATTTACAATAAAAAAAATAATGAGTATAGTTTATTAACGTAATAATGTATCAGTTGGGATCATAAGTACTTGTTTTAAGTTAGAAATTTATTATTTATGGCTCAATAATTTGCTCTAACAAGTACTCGTAGTTGGTGAATATTGTAGTAAAATAAAAAATAAAATGATCAATGAGTAATTGAGTACTATAATTTATTATCAGCTAGACTTAGAAAATAAAAACATACCTGGTTTTGATTCCTCGTATCCATTATTTCTTCGTGGCTGTGCTTTCTTAGATAACTCTGCAACGTTGACAGTGAATTTCTTACCACCCAGTAAAATAAAAATAAAAAAAAGCCTCAATTTCATCTGATCTCTTATGAAAACTCTTTCAGGAGTTTCACGATCATATAGATTAATTTGTGTGTAAGGGTGGTAGTGATTGTAACATCGGGTTGTGCCATGGGTTCGGAATCATCATTTCACAACGCCTTAGCATCATCTTTCATTTCACTCTTGACAGGTAAAATCATAGAACTAACCTGCACCGAGATTGGCTATGTCTGGAATGTGGATGAGAATCTCAGATCTCTGGGCACGAGTTCTCAGATTGTCCAGGATAAGCTTAAGCGGCTAGGCCACGACAAGCTGCCCGTGGAATGGATACCTTGGGTGCGAGAAGTGACCAGCCTATTTTATGATGTGGACGATAAAATTGATGGCATTATGCTTGGTATAATGAAACAAAATCACATCAACCAGAATCCACAACGACAGATCAACTCACAGCATCAGGCTCATGTACAAGATCAGGTGTGCACCAGCAGAGTCTTTACTCTTTTTAGAAGTCGTTCAGGGAGGAGGGCGAGGCAGAGTGATGACCATCTTCCGGTGCCAATTGTGCCACAGAATGAGAACCAAGTGAGAAGCTACATCGTTTCATCATTGAAAAAATGGGGTTTGCCTCATAAGATAAATAACCTCTTAGAGAGGTTGCAGCTGATTGATAAGCAGGTAGATGGTCTGCTTCAAGGTGTTGGCAGTAGCAGACTCAACGGAGGTATGAGTGCAGCTCATTCTTCTCCGATGGGAAGAGTATCAGTATCCATTCCGAGTTCTTCAGGCCATTTACATCAGGTTGTGCTTGCTCGAGAAAGAGAAGAAGACAAGAGAATAATCATAGAGTATTTGCTGCATCCTTCTCTTAGAGGAAGGGGCGGAATTTGCATTGTCGGAATGTCAGGGCTAGGAAAATCCACCCTTGCTCAACACATAACAAACGATTCCAGGATCAGGAAATATTATGGCTCCCCCGTTTGGGTTCCAATGCCTGGTGACTTCAATTCCGTGGCCAATAATCACATCTTTGCTCCATCTCTCCAAGGTCGTGTAGCCAATGGCTATCCTGTTCACCGTGGAAGAAGAATCCTGGTTGTGTTGGATGACTTGTGGAATGTACACCACACAGCCTGGAGTAGATGTATTTCTACTCTTGGACCTGAAACTACTTTTCTTATTACGACTCGTGATCCTAAGGTTGCTTCCATAACTGCCACAACTCCTCATCACATCAAGAGGCTGTCTGACAAAGACTGCATGGATTTGATTATAAAGATGCTGCCTGAAAATCTATCTCACCAATATGATCGCAGTATATCACAAATAGCTAAAAAATGTGCAGGCTTGCCTTTGGTGGCGAACTTGTATGGTTTAATGATACCAGCAAGATATCGCGAAAAGGGACCAGAAGCAGCTTTTGCACACTTAGAAGAAAGCGACTTGTGGGAGTTGAGTGAATTTGAAGCTGAAATTTTTCCAGCTTTAAGATTTGATGATCCCAGTATGCCACCAGATTTGGGTAAGTTCATTGCTTATTTGTATCTCTTTCCTGATGGCTATTACTTCGAGAAAGACGAGCTCTCCCAACTCTGGATGGCAGAAGGTTATGTAACACCAGAGAAGTGGAATGCCTCATGCCTGAAGAATTCAGTCAAATATTTCGACGAACTGTTGTCAAGGTCTATACTTTACCTCTCACATTACCCTAAAGAAGATGAGATGGCTACCTACCAGATTCATGAGTTCACTCATAAATTCGCTCAAAAATTAGCTTCCAGTATGTGCTATCAAATGAAGGATAGTGACACGCCATTCTTACCTGTCAAACATATCCGCCATTTATCACTAAGCAGTCAAAAACTAGATCTGTATCACACGCACATTGAAAAGTTCTACAGCCATTTAAGGACATTTCTTTTGTTATCTGGAAAGAGAGCCAACATTACTGATGTCCTACAGTATTTCTTTCATAATTTGAAATATTTACGGGTAGTGAGCCTTAATCGTTCCCATATCACCACTCTTCCTAGATCAATTAGCAACCTCAAACACCTTCGTTACCTAGATGCATCAAATACCCTAATCAAGAGTTTACCTGATCCAATCTGTGAAATTCTTGGGTTGCGAGTTATAAAGCTACAAAATTGTAAACTTCTTAGTTTACCAAGCAAAATTGCAAACCTAGTCAATCTATTCCATCTTGATATGAATATGGCACATTTGCACACCCCTCCAATATGTATAGGATCGCTCACCAACCTCCAAGCCTTAAACGTTTTCCCTGTCCATGATGCAGAAGGATACCGTATCACAGAGCTAAAGAACATGAATGCTCTTCGAGAATCAATCAAGATAATGAAGCTCGAAAATGTTACCTCTGCATTACAAGCTGAAAATGCCAGGCTATGTCAAAAATCCCACCTCAACAGATTGGAATTGCATTGGACACCAGGAAGCTATATACCAGAAACACTCATAAGCACAATCCTTGATAAGCTCAAGCCTCACGATCACTTGACAGAACTTCGTCTGGCAAATTACAGTGGAGACGTGTTTCCAAGTTGGCTTGGCAGTCCTTCGTGTTACCTTAAGTCCATTCATCTCTTCAATTGTCCATATATCAAAAAACTTCCATCATTTTGGAAGCTTCCACAACTAATAACCCTTACCATTGATACAGCAAGCAGTTTGGTGGAACTAGACCGCCAATTCTTTGGCGATCATAGGAGTACCAGGTTCCCAAAACTGAAGTCTCTAGAGCTTCAGAACATGGAAAGTCTTGCAAGGTGGGATGAATTGAGACCCAACGACATGCCTCGTCTCTGTGTTCTTAAACTCATCAATTGTCCTACATTGTCTGGCGTGTCTACATTGCGATTCTTCAATATGCTTGAACATTTAGAAATCATACGTTGTCCGAGACTTGAAGATCCAGAACTTCCACTATCAGTCTCATTATATTATTTTGAATGATCGCTTTTTGGTGAGCATGATCTGCAGATAAAGAATTACAGAATCTTCAAGTGTTAATGTTTAGACCATTTAAATTCATTATCATACTGTTGAGTGTAATACATATAGGCCATATTTTTCCATTTTCATTGATTTATGTTTGCTTGTAAATATAATTATGATCAAGAAATCAAATTTCCACGCACCATAGTCCATAATATTACTCCCATTTATTCAACTGGAAAAGTTTGTGGGAAACTATCAATTATCTTGCTTACAAATACCCAATAATAAACAGCCAAAATCAAGAAATTAACGCAAAATCAACACAATTGAAGATACAAATTACATGGGGTTTTACAAATTATAGCCAATATACAAGTAGTTAACCCCAAATCTTTGCTCATTCCATGGTATCGGTAAATTAAGGTTTATAATTTGGGGGAAATTGAACATTGAATGTTAGGGTTTTCGAATAGGGGCTAAATGCAATTTTAAATAAATAAATACAAAAATCTAAAAGTTAATAAGAAGAATATTCATAGTAATGTAATCTACCTTGTTTGAAATTAAGCTGCCATTGGTAAGTTTTCCGTCAAACTCCATTTCTTTTTCCAGTTTTGGTCTAAGTCCACTGTAATGTCGATCAGTGAAACAGACTGTGTGAGAGAGTATTGAAGCACTGAGAGAGAATAAAAAATGATAGTCCAAATTAGAAAATGATAGTGTAAGAGTGTATTGAAGCAGTAACTTTTGTATATAATATCCGATATACAGTAATTTATTATATATTGGGGATACTTTTATCAAATTTAGGGTCACTTTTACAATTTTTTGAGTATGGAGTAACTTTTATCATAAAAGCATAAACACTCCGTAACTTTTATATCAAGGTAATTTTTATTCATATAAGGGTAATTTTTGCTTATTTTAGAGTAACTTTTGCTCATTTTCGGGTAACTTTATAACGAATGTACAATATTTTATTGTACATCCGATTTTCTTTACAAGCTTGTTTAAAGTAAAAGTCCAAGTTTATCAAATGGCAAACTTGTAAAAAAATGAGCTAAAATTTCACTGCTCATAAATATTCATAGGTAATTAGCGGTTTAGTTGATTTTACGTGTTTTTAAAAAAAATATATATTGATGTTAGAGCATTCAGTCATCCACAATGGCTAGCTACATATACATGTAGCTTTAAATTGCCAATTATTTGCCACATCATTAATCTCCAGAGCTATAAGATTTAAGCTACAACCTTTATACTGCTAAGCTACATTATAATTAAATTATAAAAAAAAAAAAAAAATTAAACAAATCAATATATGTGTGGTAGGTGGAGTGATACTACATAGCTTTCTAGAGCTATGTAGTTTGGCTTAGCTACAAGAGGGTGTAGCTCCACAATGGTTAGCAATTATTTAGAAATTACTAGCAAGTCTTTGTGCACAACCATTGTGGATGCTTTTAGCCTTTAGCGGTTTTATCCATTTTCTCCTAAAATATTCGATAAACTAACACAAAGTTTTGTTTATCAAATTGAGTAACCTTGGCAGCCTCCTCGATAAATGTGAGCTTTATTTAGGACGAGGGAGCCTCAATTAATCTAACATGGGTTCATTGTTTATAAAGAGGGCAAAATTGTAGAGCACATCCATTTAAATCCTCGCAGTTAACTAAACAATTTATTTAAAGGCATTCTTATGATATCAAACAATTAATCAAAGCCTAAATCCCAAGTGGGGGTCGGCTACATGAACTAAATTTGATTATTCCGTGTATTCATCAACAAAGATCCTTCTCCTCCACCATCCCTTATGATCCAATATTTCATCCGCATTTACATCCATATACTTCATATCTTTCCAAACTCCTTCTAACGCAAGTCATTTTCGATCTCCCTCGTTTAATCCCTCCGTGGTCTCACTCTTCCACTCTTTGTACTGGTGCCCCCTTGGGTTTCCATCTTACATGCCCAAACCAACACAAACGATTTTCAAATGTGATATTGTAAAACCGCTAATAACTTTAGGGCAGGCCGCTATTGAGTTAACAATTTTAGGGTAAATTGCTAACTTAATTAGCAGTTTATCCAATTTTGCCCCAAGATAAACAATATTTGTTTACTTTAGATATTATCAACTTGTGTTTTCTCAAAATTGTATTCCATAACATTTTAAGATAAAAATGGTGAAAATTACTATTTCTGGAAGTGGTTTTACCCTAAATTTGCTAATGGTGCTATTAGTTTTGCAAAATTACATCATTTAATTACAAGTATGTCTCTTAATAAACAATTGAAGTTTATCAAGATTTTTTTTTCCTTTTTGAAGAGAATATCATGTTCTCACTCTGTTTTTTTTCTTCTTCTCATTTACTGCTCATATATAATTAAATATTAAGTAAAATATTGGTCATTTTTTACTTTTTAGGTAGGAGAAAATGTTGTTTAGAAAACATTGGTATTAATTTATAATCTCGCGTGGATAATGTAATCGTGGGGGGAAAAGTGATAAAAGTGAAAATGTTTTTCATCGTAAAAGGAAAAAAGTAAAAGTAGAATAATATAGAAAAGAGCATATCTAAACGGAAAGTAGAAACTAGGAAGTATGAACTATGAAGTATCCAACTGTCCAATTTTTATTTAGCATTGAGCTGAGGAAAATAATTTCTTTTAAAAAAAATGTAATACTTGTATATAATCTAATCACAATATATAAGAATGATAATTTTATTACACCCTTAAGCTTTTGGAAAACTGATTTTGAAACACCTTTTATTGATATTGACACACTTCCATATGAAAAAAAATATTAAAAATGTGCTCAATGGGTGTGCTTAAATCACTTTTTGGTGTGCAAAAATCATTTTTCATTTTCTAATCTTCTCGGTTTCCGTTTTGATACTCGTATATTTTTTTTTTTTTCAGCTTTCCACTTTTGCTTTATTACTGTAATGGTAAATAAAATTTCTATTTTTTACACTTTTTAGTTTATACCCATCACATGATTCACATAAACACAGAGGTTTTTCAGTGCGACAAGCCACATGGTGCGACACGGTTACTTGTATTGTAGGGTTACTTGTATTATAGGGTTACTTGTATTATGGAGTTACTTGTATTATGAGGTTACTTGTATCGTGGGGTTACTTGTATTCTGAGTAACTCTAGACCAAAATCCCATACCAAACCAGTAACACCCTACAAGTAACCCCTGATCAAAACCAATAACAACCATACAAGTAACCCTAGAATACAAGTAACACCTGACAAAACCAGTAATACCCTACAAGTAACCCCGACCAAAACCAATAACACCCATACAAGTAACTCCGGAATACAAGTAACGCCTACAAGTAACCCCTGACAAAACCAGTAACACCTTATAAGTAACCTCGACCAAAACCAGTAACACCCATACAAGTAACCCCAAAATACAAATAACACCTACAAGTAACTCCTGACAAAACCAGTAACATCCTACAAGTAACCCTTGTCACACCATGTGACCAGCCACATACGAAAATTTGTACACATAAAAATATACCATAATAATATCAATGCTTCCAATGCAAACAACTCTCTCTCTTACCTAAAAAGTAAAAAAGAAATCACTTTTGAATTACTGTTTATTTTAAATGAGTAGTAAATGGAAATATTAGGGGTTGTTTGGTTACACAAAGAAAATGGGGGAAGTGGAAAATCATGTGAATTTGAAAATACATGACTTGTTTGGTTGACAATAAAAAGTGTAAATGAGGGAATTGCAAATTCATGGGAATTGTGACTTCCCACAAAATATGAGAAGTTAATTACCTAACCCCCCCTAAGTAAGTCAAACTTCCCATGATTTGCAACTTCCCTCATGCCAACCAAACAATTTTATACAATTCCCATGATTTTGATGTAGGAATTTAATTCCCATGAAATACAAATTCCTATGGGAAGTAATTTCCCATAACAACCAAACGACACCTTAAAATACTACATGTTTATACTATGTCATTTTCTTTACTTAAAAAAATCCTTTTTTTTTTCTTTTTGTGAATTTCAATTATTTATGTATAACATGCACATTTATTTATATTGTTTACTTGTGTCAAATATATATGTTGTTTACTATCCTAAAGCAGTGGCGGAGTCAGGATTTTTCACCTAGGGGGACGGACTAAAGGTAGCGTACATTCTATAAATGGACAAACCTTTTAAACATACAAGAAATTGTAGGGACTATGCTTAATATTTATAAGTTTTACAACCTGGAAATCCAAATTTCTTAGTTATACAGTCCAAAAATTGAAAAAAAGCATATTTACAATAACAACTTCACCTTCAAATATTCATTTTTGTTTTGAAAGTAATATACAATCAAAATTATCAAATAATTCATAAATGTGATTTCTAATTCACGATAATCCTAACAAATAAACAATTTCTTATTCAAATTTGGTCAATAGCAGATCCATAGGTTCAAAGTTTTTAAACCCGTGACAATTTAATTTATATTGAGATATATAATAAAACCAAACACCTTTACCCGAAATTCCTACTATAACCAATAATTTAGGGTTGTAATGTATGCATTTATATAAAAAAAAAATTATGTAAATTACTATGGTAATTTAAAAGTTAGAACATGATGCCATTAAGTAGTACTATGTATTACTTCTAATTGAACGTGTGAAGTAAAGAAACATGCAAGAAAAGAGTAAAACTTTGAAATAAAAATAAGAAGAAAAAAATGTTGGTCAAAGGGATTGAACCCATGACCATGAAGACTACTAGTAAGCCTTGAAACCATTGAACCAAACCCTTTTTCTTATGGTTTTCGCTGCACATATTTAGTTTTAACTAATTTTTTCTTTTTATTGAAGTGGGGGGACAGCTGTCCCCCCTTGTACCCCCCTCCCTCCGCCACTGTCCTAAAGTGAGTAAAACATTAAGTTGGATACTAAACTTACGCAATTCACATACTTCGAAATTTCTACTCCCCCAACTAAAGTGAAAACGTGCTAACTAAAATAACGGTAGTTATAAATTTTATTGACATATTATTGGTCAAAGTATAACACTTAAAATAAATAACGAAGAGATTAAATAATTGATTTTTTTTAAAAAAGTACTCACAATACTCTGAGCTCTTGAAGGTAACTTTCAGTCCTTCATAGCCTAGGAGTAGACCTGATCAACATAAGCCGGCCGGTTAATAGGCAGGCCATAATGTCGTTGGGTCTGGCTTGATCCGAACATATTTTTTTAAAACGGATCGTGTACAAGCATTTCATACATTTTTTTTGGCTCGACTCAAACTGGCCAGAAAAGCTCGCTAGGGCCGGTAAAATATTTCTGATTTGGACAAGCATTGCTGGTTTTTTAAGGCTTAGACCCAACCTAAACTCGCCCCGCTCGTCTAATAATCACCTCTACACGCACCCTTAGCAACGAGGCGTTTGGATTGTGGGAATGGGAGTTTGGGGATTAAAAAGGTAGGGATGAGATTGATATTAATTGATGGGAATACATAAAAATATGTCAATACCTTGTTTCGATAGCGGGTGGGAATATATAGGGAATAAATAACAATTTGACAACAATACCCTTACTAAGATTATTATTTCATTCTTTTTATTAATGGCAAAAATGTCATTTTCACCCTATTCCCATTCCCAGTCATTTATTATCACCCTCCCTAGGTAATAAAATGATGGGAATTCAGTAATTCACCCATAAATAATTCCATTCCCAAACCTCTTTTTATTTCCATTCTCACCGACCAAACAAGGCTTATTTTTATATTGGGATTAAAACTCTCAATCTCACCCTCAATTCCCACCTACCAACCACCCCCCAAGAGTTACAGAGTACTGTAGTCTATATTTCAAAGTTTACTTTTCCTACCAACTCCAATATACCACTTTTTGTTTCACACCACTTTCTCTCTCTCCCCTCAGCTCATAGCTCACTTACGTCGTCCACCACCATTATCGCCACTCCACCACCGCTTCCCTGCTGCCAGAAAGATTACTGGTAAGTGTCTCTTCTTTATACAAATTTAAATTAAACTAATTATGCTTTATCAATTCATAGATTGTGTTCAGCAATATAAATATCTCAATCGATTGATCAATAATTAGGCAGTGATTTTTCTTTTTTTTTTTTTTTTTAATTAATATAGCTATTATTATTGATTATACAAATTGTGTATTCAGATTTTTGATCTATTTAGTTGAGTCTGCTTAATTAATGTTTGTTTAAGAACAAGCTTGAAACAGAAGCTCTCTTCCTTATTTGAGTGATTGTGAAAATGGTTTGTATTTAGGTTTACTATGTTTATTTAGTAATTTGATAAGAGAAAAAAGCTATTTAATAATGTTGTTGGATGAATTTCAGTTTGTAGTATAAAATCATCAATTTTTATAAGTGTTGTTAATGATTAATTGAAGATACTGTATATAAAATCAAAGATGTGTTGGCAGATGCCATTTATAGGAAGGAGGTAGTATGAGTAAATTTTTTGAATTGCTACCCTTTAGTTTGCCCAATTTAGAATTTTTTTTTTCACAACATTTGGTTTTTTTTTACAAAAATTCCATTATTTTTAATTGATATGAAATTAAAGATCTAGTGAGACATTATGTCATTATCTGACTGTAATAATAACCAGAAATCGAAGGTGGACAAAGCCTAGATTAGACACATAATCATAGCTGACATAGCCTCATAAATCTAAATGTTTTTGAATGATTAAGATTCAGTTTGCCACCACATTCGTGTTGATCGAGCCAACAACATACTGTAAGCTGTGACAAGATAAGCGCGTTGTAATGTTTTGCTTTTAATCATATTTGATGCTCCTCTATGGCTCTCTGTAGTGTTGACTGTTAAGTCGTGTGACTTTCAGCTGTAAATTATATGTTGACTACATTAGAATTGAAAAAAATAAATAATTCCAATGATATTTGATAAATTATTCTTTGATTCTACGATCTGTGATGCCAAAGCTCATTGAATCAATGCAAGTTCTGTTGAATTGTGCAGGTTATTGGAGATTATCGCTACAACTTACTCTTTGACTGATGGAAGGCAGTGATGGCCAACAAGGAGGCATTCAGAAGACAGAACGTTTGTTCTGCAAGGAATTGACTGAAAGCGATGTTTTACACCTTTCTGTACCAAAAGGCCACCAGCATGTGTTTATTCAGGCACAAGATGAGAAAGGTGAAGTTGGCATTATTGAACTTCAAAGTGGGGAAGAGTGGCGTTTTCATTTGAGGTTCTTTAGTGAAAGTTGCATCTTCCACAATGGTTGGCATCAATTTGTTAAGGCCAAGGAGTTGGCTGCTGGTCATTCTGTGATATTTCATCGTACTGTTGGACTGAAAAGTGAGAAATTGCAAAATCAGCTCTACATAGAATGCATTGATCCGAGTCAGAAACCCTCTATAATAAGGAGGCCTGAGTCATCATCTATTGTCAGTTTAGGCCAGAAAAATACTAGAAACATTCAACCTTTTAATGATATGTTGCAGAGTCTTCGAGCTCTGGAAGAGAAAGAGCATCTTGTTGTAAATGGGAAATCTAGGCACTTGCAGCTGCATGTTGGTTTTTCCAGATCTAGATATTCACGACTTACACGTTACAGCCCGTTGGACTCACTGATCAGTTCTCCTCAAGTTTCTGCTCAATGTGTAGATTGCTTCCTACTTTTAAGTATCTTCCCCAAGGAATATGAAATTGATAGAGATACGCTGGTGCAGTTATGGATGGTAGCAGGTCATCTCCAAGAAGTGTCTGCCAATTACATATCTGCTGGCTATCTTGAAGCCATTCAGTCTAGTGGGGGTACATTGTCTGTTCAAGGGAAGACATCAGAACTGGGTTGGTGTGGTACAAGGTAAATGAATTTACCATTTCTGGCGAGTTGTCAACTAGATTCAGCCACCTTAGGGTGGACCAATTGGATGATACTGTCAAAGATCTGTCTGTGGCTGAACCTCGTCATGTGACAGTGCAAAATGTGCCTTCAAATCTCAGGGTGCTTAAACGACTGGCAGGGACGAGGACTCTTTGGTTCTTGCGTGGTCATGAATCTTGCATAGAGCATGTACCTTATGATTTCTTTATCTCATTGAGGGTCCTGGAGGTTTTGTCTTTGAATGGGACTAAGCTGTCAGAACTCCCAAGTTCTATTGCCATTTTGAAGGATCTTCGTTATTTGGACCTCTCAGAGACCCTAATCAAACATTTACCGGAAACCATTGGCCGCCTCCGAAAATTGCAAACATTGAAGCTTCAAAATTGTCCCCACCTGGTTACATTACCCAAAACTACAACAAAGCTAGAAAGTCTTGTGCATCTTGATCTTGGTACACTTTGCTACTTAAATTCCATTTGCCCTAGGATTGGAGCATTAACTCGACTTCGCACTTTGTCTGAGTTCCCTGTTGGCACAGAGAGTGAATGCAGCCTAGCAGAACTTAAGAACCTTAAATACCTTCAAGGAAGTTTTTGCCTCTCAAGGCTTCAAAATGTTTCCAACTTGGAGGAAGTTAAAGAGGCAAACCTAAGAGCTAAGCCCAGCCTTTTGAGACTGGAGCTTCGATGGTGTCCCAGAGCAGAAAAAGACATCAAAATTGATGATCAGGTCATTGAATATCTGGAGCCACAAGCAATGCTGACTAACTTACGGGTACTTTATTATGGGGGTTCTAAATTTCCTAGTTGGATTGCTAATCCATCTTTCAAGAATCTGATGAGCATAACCCTTTCCAAATGTGAACAGTGTCAGTACCTACCAGCTCTAGGTCAGCTATGCTCTCTTGAATCAATTACCTTAAATGGACTTCTTGGAGTGAGAATCATTGATCTTAATTTCTGTGGAAATAGTGCATCCACTATTGCAGGGAGTGCTGATGGGGCATTCCCGAATTTGCAAAATCTGACCCTCACATCCATGCTCAATTTGGAATCATGGAGAGACATGGGAGAATTATGCTTTCCTTCCCTTCGTAAACTTACCATAAAGGACTGTCCTAAACTTGCTGATTTGTGCAGCCTTACAAACATCCTTTCTCTTCAAGTTTTGGAGATGAGTTATTGTCCTTTACTTTCGTCTTTACCTAGGGGACGGTTACCTGCTTCTGTTGAACAATTAGTGATTGAAGATTGCCCGTTACTTAAATCAAGCTGCTCAAAGCTGCATGGCCAAGATTGGCATAAGATGGAGCATATTCCCAGCGTGTGGATTGACTATGAAGAAATATCCTCCCACTGAGCTGAATACTAGGTCTTGAATCATATAATACACTTTATGTATCATATGACTCAAGACCTTGTGCCTATGGATTATTGGAATTACTCTGTCATCCGGAGTATATTAGCAGCATTATTGTAGTGTGCATGAATTGGGACCATCCTAGAGTCGGTCAGTGCCAGTTTATATGCTGCCTATTTTTTGTATTTCAGGATCATCAATAAAACTTAAGAAGTGTCATTTTAATGAGATCGGCAGCAACAGCCACACTACGAGGCCACTGCTGTTTATGCGACATCCAACAGGTAGATACAGGGGATTTTACTGAAGTTACTCATTTTTTCTTTTTGCTTTCTTTTTTTTTTTGGAGGGGGGGGGGTAATTATTCAGTTAATTTGAGTGGATTATCTGTATGTATTGTGTAATATATGATGGGTAGTACCATGTTTATTTGCAGACATGAAATCCTAGGACATGATTTTTGTTTGTAAAATACGACTTAATATACCTGCATTAATTTTGGAACCTGCATTGAAAAGTTTACAATTCGTTTGAAGTTTGTTTCATGAATTGTAATGAAAAAAAAAAAAACCGAAGTACATAATGGTATTTTGTTAGATGTTTATTACATCAAAGTATTGTGTAAATAGTGGGTTATCTGATTCAAAATTTTAACATAAACTCCCCATGAAAATCTAATATGGTGTACCAATGATTGAATGTTTTCCCATTAATTTTATTGTACAGTGATGAGTTTGAAAAAAAGAAAAAGGGTCCTTATATTACTTGTAAATATTACAATAGTAAACTTATGCAATATAAGTTTTTACAGATTTGAGGAATATCGATAGTTGGTGACTTATTGAATTGTGTAACTAGTCAAGGTTTCAATGGGCAGAAAGTCAATAACTACGCTTGGAACTAAGTTGATCTTGCACCAGTCGTCACCAGCTTCTGGAAGGCATCTCTGTGCTAGCAAATCACTGTCTTCAATGATCAGCTGTTTTAGTGACAAGGGCATTATTCCTCCTGGCAGCGACTGTAATGCTGCACATTCTCTTATTTCCAAATTTACCAGTGCAGCAAGTTGATTTAGGGAAGGCAGAGCATGCAACACTGGACAACTCAAGATCCTGAGATCATGTAAGCGAGGCATTAGCAGTCTTCCTTCCCACTTTTCAAGGCTTGTCATGTCTTCGAGTATTAGCAACTCCAATGCTGGGAAACTAGAAGCAGCTCCTGCACCCAAAAATTGATCATTGATACATTTTATACTGCACATTTCCTGTAAATGAAGGGCTTTGAGATATGGAAGTTGTCCCAGTGGTGGCAAGCTTTTGCATCTGTGGCATCTTTCTAGATGAATGCTAGTGAGCCTGCATTCTGGTTCGCTCAACCAGTTCGGAAACTTATCACCACCATATCCAATTATATTTAACTCTTCTAAATCCTGGTGAGGTTCAAGTCCTTTGAGGACTCCTTTTGCTTGTAATGGATTTTTCATGTTATTGCTCCATTCAAGTTCTAGTCTTTTGATGAATCGTTTATTGCTCAACATGGCTTTCTTAGCATCATCTTCTCCTGTTACATCCTCTAAATTTGTAAGGCAAAGGGATCCTTGAATCTGCTTCAACTTATTCAACTCTGTGATCTGACACCCATCCTTGGTACCCACAATATATGCTGGAAGCGTTTGGAGTTTTGTTAGCTTTCCAATGTGAGCGGGCATGCAAGACAAACGTTTTATGTCAACCTCAAGATGGACCAGGTTAGTCGAGTTCTTAGTATCTTTAGGCAGTTCAAGTATATAACATTTAGTGAGTCTGAGAACTTGTAATTCAGTGAGCTTAGAAATCGATACAGGCAAGGACTCTATATCTGTTCTAGACACATCTAAGAGCCGAAGGTGTTTCAAATTGCCAATTGATCCTGGCAGCTCACTGATATAAGTTGCACTCAAGTTGAGTACCCTAAGAGATTGTAGTTTACTGAAAAGTCCATAGCCAAGCTCTTTGATCTCAGTGCGCTCAAGGAGGGTAACAATTGTGCGCACACCCTTACATTTTTCCAATTCCTTCAGCACTGAAGGCGGAAATTTCCGGAAAACAAAAGATACATGCCGTGCTTTACGGTACCAAGTTGGAGAAATAAAGGGCATACCTATACTTAAAGAGGAGTACGCATTGAGAAATTGCTTGTCAAGGCGCAGGTAAATGTCAGAGCTGACATATTGAGCATAACGGTGGATGAATTCATGCATCTTGTAGACTTGTGACTCATGATCATAGACAATAATAGATCTTGATAACAATTCATCAAACAAATGATTGCCCGTTTCTTCCCAGCCTGCAGTGTGGTATGGCTCCCCTGGGTGCCCTTGTATAATGAAACCCTCTGCCATCCAGTACTGCAAAAGATCTTTCTTCTTAAAATTGAAGCCATTTGGGAAAAGTGAGAGATAACAGAAACAATTTTTCAAACCTCGGGAGAGATCTGAAAAATTCAATCTGAATGCTGGAAAGATCTGTTCTCTAAATAATGGCATCTCCCATAGGTCTTTAGACAACATGTTAGACCATTGTTCCTCTGGTTCATTGTAAAGGTGGGGTCTTATGACATTGGCCACCAAAGGTAGGCCTTTGCAGAATTTCTCAGCTATCTCAAGTGCAGACTCTTCCAGAGTACAACGCTTTCTTTTGGAATGGATGTCGACCACTGATGCTGACAAGAGTTTAGGAACCATGCTAATAGATGATACATAATGGGTGACTTTAGGATTTCGAGTAGTAATGAGGATCCCAAACATTTGGGTGGAGTTGAGGAGAAGAGCTTCAAATTCTTCCCAGTCTTGCAGATTTGGAAAGTTGCACAAGTCATCTAAAACAATGAAAACTCTTCTTCCCCTACATCTATCACTAACATCTCTATGTAATAGCCCTGATTGCTGCCTCTGATTCTGTTCAGAATCCGCTTGGATCACCATTGAGCTTAAAACTTTACTCAAGTTGAAATTCCCTGACAACTTAACCCAGAACTTTTGGTTGAAGCTAGTCTCGATTTTGTTATCATCATCGATTACACGAGCCAGTGTAGTTTTACCAAGTCCAAACATACCCTCTATCAAAACAATGACACCAGCAGTCCCACTTCCACCCTTGTTACTGCTGCTAGCAGCAGCTGCAGCACCATTCCTCCTGAAGTTTGTCGAAAGCAGCAGTGTTTTGATGATCTCTTCCTTAACCGCCTCCCTCAGGAAAGGCCTAGAATCCAGCAGTGGCTCTTTTTCAAGCATGTTCCTTGGCTGTTCCAACATCAACCAAGTTGAGTGCTTTTGTTAATAAAACATCCAAGTTGTGTTGCTGCTCATCGATTTCACGAGACAGAACCCAATTTTTCAAGAATGACAGAGAATTCTGCGCCTTCCTCATCTCACTCATGACATCTGTGATCAAGTCTTCAATATCGTAGCAAGCTCTCCTCACTTCCCCCACCCAATCTTGGTGAGGCTTGCTGCTTACAAGCTCCCACCCATCTACCTTGTCAAGCATCAACTGAGCTTTGACATAACTCATATCTAGAGCTTGCAACTTCTTCTCCACATCGGCTATCACATGTTGAAATTGATCATAACCAAAACTCTTGATCGTGTCTACGAGTTCTTGTACAACAACAGATGCAAACACACCACATACAAATTCTAATGCCATGTCGCACACACTCAGAAATCACAAAAGAGAAATCACAGTGCTCAGAACCCTTTTTTTTTTTTTTTTTTTTTTTTTTTTTTGTTTTTTGTTTCAGTCAAAAAAAAAAAAGTTGAAATGATTATGTAGTAGTAAGAATTGATTAAGCTGCAACTTTTGTTTGTTACTTTTACTTCCGAGAACTTTCCTCAATCAATGTTAATTGGCTGCAATTTTCAGTAGTGTTGACAAAAAGTAAGTCAAAATAAGGCAGCAGATTGGGCCAACATGCGTTTTGTGGCATTCAAAGATGCTACGTCCGTATTAAATTGATGTTTACTACCCAGTTGAATAGGTGGTAACACTAAATTATCCAATAGTTTAATAGTTAGTAATACACTTATACTAAATTATCCAATACTTGGTAATACTAAATTATCTAATACTTTTCCGTTTTTATTTAGTTGATACATTTGATTTAGGCACATATATTAAGGAGAGGAGAGGAGAGAGAAAGAGAGAGAGAGAGAGAGAGTGAGAGAGAATAAAAAAACAAGTGGGGTAGCTTGTCAATGTAAGGTAAAAAAGTTACCCTAAAAGAAAACGTGTCAACTAAAAAAAAATTTCTAAAAAGGAATACATGTAAACTAAAAAAAAACCGGAGGTAGTAGTTTCTTTCAAGAAAAAAAAAATCTAATAGTTGAATAGGTAATACTAAATTATTTAATAGTCTTACAAAAAAAAAAACTTAATAGTTGAATAGTTGGTAATAGTAAATTACTAACTCTCCGTACCCAATTATCCAATATCGATTGTATTCCAAAATTTACACTTATTGGTAACTAGAATCAAATTTGATCTGGCATTTGATTCTTTAGAACTTGTTATATGCAAGGACAAGAGTTATATGAACATTGTATAGACATTGGATATTTTAAAAAACTAGATAAAAAAGAAGATTAGAATTACCCCTGACTTATATAATAGAGATGAGTATTTGCTAATTTGCTATATATTTGACTTTGTACTTATTATTTAATATAATTAGGAGGAGTTTGTACTTACTGTATGCTCTTATTATGTTAAAATATGGATAGAAGGATTACTTCATGAGAAACTCAAAAAAAAAAAAAAAAAAAATATTATAGTAGGCTATTCGACCTAAAAGAAATTTGAGTTAGAATAGAAATCAAGCATCAACAGTTTATTTTAATTAATAAAGCATTTATTCCTCTCCATTAAATTATACAGTATATTCTTTCAAAAAAAAATAATAAAAATTATGCAGTATATTATTGCCAATAGAAGTATAGAACCATACAAATCTCTCTTGATTCAAAACTCTCTTATTGATTTATTATTACATCTTTGTATTCACAGCAACACTTTTTGGCATTATGGCAACCTCCAAGCTCAAATTTACCATATTCATGTTCACAATTCGTCTGACAAAGTCGTGTTGTGCATTGAGGTTCTATTGTAATCATAGGTTTTGCGCATGTTGTCCTCTTCGGCATTACCTTTGCAGATACATCACCTAAATATAAAAAAATAAATAAATAATAATGGCCAATGATAAAAAGTGTAGTATGAAGTGCATATGATTGTAAGTACGTTATTTTAGTAAGAAATGAATAAGAGGGACGTTTGAATCACACATTGGTTATGTTAACAATACTCTCAAACAAACAATAGTTATAGGTTTTATTCAACCTAAATCTTATGTGTGTGAATCAAACACCACTCTGCAAAATAAAAATAAAAAAAAAAAAAAAATTACCATTAGAGAAGAGTAAGAGTAGCAGAGTAAAAAAGAAGGCAAAAGAAATCTTGGTCATTGTAAATTATATGAGAAATCAAGAATAAATTTTGTTTGAAAAATCTTTATTTATTTATTTTGAAGGGCTTGTTTGAAAAATCTATTGGTTGTACTAAGCTTATATAGGCTAATAATGAATATTAAATCATCTAAGATTTTTTGCATTTTTTTAGAATATCCAATGTGATTTCTTGTTAAACTTTTAGCCAGGTCACGAGACAACGACACTTGGCGTTCCAACTTTTAGCCAAGTGTCGCGCCACGATGAATAGATTCAAATAGGCTTCATAAGATAAAAAAAAGTTAGTTTAGTAATCTATTTGGATAGAATTTTAGGATAAAATTGTTAGTTTAGAGTTTTATTTTTGATAAAATACCAATATTTCAGATGTACAAATTGAATTATAATTTAATTCAAAAAATTATTAGATTATAATTCTAAAAAATTATCATATAAATTTATATTTTTATCATAATTTTATTTGGGAACAAATAATGTAGTTCAAAAAGCACAACATTTATTTATAATATATCCTAATCGATTTAAATACAAAACTTCACAATCTAATATGATTTTATTATTGTAACTATCAATCGGGTTGGATCACGGGTCATTTAGGGTCGAGTCACTTTAGATCACGGGTCAAACAATGTTCACACTAGCAAAAAATTTCATGTTCGGGTCAACTGAACATGCTTAGAATTTTTTATTTATTTATTATTATTTTGCTTTATTTTGGCTAATTTTTAAAATTTTCTAATGTTTCAAACTTACTTTGCTATTTTCTAAAAAAAATCAAGCATTTTCACCAATATTATTATTAGTCATTATATGCCTATTGCATAATTTAAATCGTCACAAAATCACATCAATTCTTAACTAATTTTGTATCAATGATAAATTATAAAACTTGGTATATATATAAAAGTTTATGTTATTAATTTATCAAACAACTCGGGCATCGCACGGGGCACCAAACTAGTATAGATATATATGTATACTAGTTTTGTACCCCGTGCGATGCTCGGGTTGTTTATGGAATTTTAAGATAAAATTATATTATAATCAATTTAATTGATTGAAAATAGAATTCTAAATTAACTTCTTTTTTTTTCTCTACAAAGTCTATCTATATTCATCCAACGTGGTACGACACTTGGCGAAAAGTTAAAATGCTATACGATGTTGTCTTGTGGCCTAATTATAAGTTTATTATTTGGTACTTTATCGAAAATAAAACTCTAAACTAACCATCTTATTCTAAAATTCTATCCTAATTTAATTGAAAAAAGAATTTTTAACTAACTTTTTTATCTTATGAATCTATTTAAATCTATCCAAGGTGGCGTGACACTTGGCGAAAAGTTAGAATGCCAAGTGTCACTATTTCGTGACCTGGCTAAAAGTTTAGCTTTATATATTAGTTATATGATTTAATGAGATTTATGTAATCCAATGTGATTTATTATACATATCTAAGATGTATATCTAAATAGATTTATGTAATCTACTGTGATTCATTAAGCAAAAAAATAACAATCCTTCCTTTCCCGCCAAGGCTTACAAACTATCCAATCCGACCCGAATTTTGGCCAGCTTGTTAAGAATTATAGTATTTTTGTTTGAGGTATCTCAAGAAGTCAATATTGATCGAACGAGCCTTTATAATTTTGTTTACACTTCACTTATCTTTACTAATTTAATGGTAAGATTAATGATGATGCAAAAGACATTAATCAACAACTCTTGTATATTTGTCTTGGAGACATCAAGAAGACGAGGATGTTTCAATTTTTTATTGTTTATATGAGCTTAATAGTATCTGTTCCACTCAATTTGAATACACGTAAGGAATGTAGTTTGAGGAAAAGGGTGTAACTCACTTGGCCAATACTTGTGTGCTCACGTAGAGAAATAATTAGCCTAACTCATCTGAATATTAGTATTTTGATCAAAAGGGTGATATATTTGAAGGATGGATTGGGACAACACAGTGTTAAAGTAATAATTCTCAAGTCAATAAGGAGAGTGATGTCTAGTGACAACTCATAAAAGATGTAGATTGTAGCAATTCCCAAAAGCAAATATGAAAGAAACAAATTATATTAAAATTATTTATATATTAATAAATTACGTGTACAGTGGTTACAGTTTATTAAAAATGTTAAGTTTGATTACTTTTCATAATATATAAGGGTTACTTATAAATAATGAGGGGTTACTTTATTAGTTTTATAAACATGTATTCTATACCATGAATGTTTCAAGCTCCACCCTTTTAAGAAATGGTTTGTTTTTCAACAATTCTTCATTAGCATCAACCTCACTAGAATCAACCTCACTAGCATTTTCGAAATTCGTGATACAAATTAATCCTTAGAGGTATTTCATATCCTTCAACTCTGTAACTTTATATTTATTCTTTCTTCCCACAATGAATGTGGGAAGAGTGCAAAGATTTGTTAGTTTCCCTATTTTAGGAGACAAAGAATTGAATCTTAATAAAGGGATTGGTTCTTAATAAAGGACTTTGTTTAAGAGTTATGTAAACAATACTCCTAAACAAACAATAGTTATAGGTTTTATTCAACCTAAATCTTATGTGTGTGAACCAAGCACCACTCTGCAAAATAAAAATTAAAAAAAAAAAATTACCATAGAAGAGTAAGAGTAGCTGAGTAAAAAAGAAGGCAAAAGAAATCTTGGTCATTGTAAATTATATGAGAAATTAAGAATAAATTTTGTTTGAATTTTTTTTTTTTTTTAATTTTATTAAAGGCTTGTTTGAAAAATATATTGCTTGTACTCAGCTTATATTGACCAATAATGAATATTAAATCATCTAATATATATATATATATATATATATATATATATATATATAATGAGATTTATGTAATCCAATGTGATTCATTTACTTTGATCCATTCAACAAAATAAATATACATATCTAAGATGTATTATCTAATAAATAGATTTATGTAATCTTATGTGATTCATTAAGCAAAAGAAAAAAAAAACCATTTTTCCATTCCCGCCGAGGCTTACAAACTATCCAATCCGATCTGAATTTTGGTCTATTCGAACTAAGCTTAGCTTGTTAAAAATTACAATATTTTTGTTTGAGGTATCTCAAGAAGTCAAGATTGAACGAGCCTTTATAATTTTGCTCACACTTGGCTTGTTATTAAGATCAGAGTTTGT